TGAGCATTTTCATAGGTGTTATTCTGATAATCCCATGGAGAAGGCAATATACTGAACACATGAGAGAAACAAACACCGACTGCAAGTCAACTCTCCACTGTGACGCCAAGTCACGTGATAGAAACTCTTCTCATTGACTCTCGGAATTTTCTGGAAAACGAGTAGTCTATTGGGCTACAAATGTTAATTTTAGAAAAAATATTTTCTGTTAGATACGTGTGTTTTTCACTGGCTTAATATACTAGGCGTCATTAATAAAGGATCAAATGATATATAGCACATGTAAAGAAACGTTTCTCAGAAATAATTAGAACTACGAGTGTCGTCTATGACGCAACTATTTTCAGGCTATTATTCATAGACTTTATTTCACCCTATCATTCATGAACTTTAATTCATAGACATTTTCTCCTGCTATTATTCATAGGCTTTATTTCAGGCTATCATTCATAAGTTACAGTACAACCAAAAATTATTGAGAATTTAAGATTGTAATTTTTGTTTTTCCACTCATTACTCACGTATTAAATGTGAATATTAGCAGAACACAACTCCAGATTCAAAGACAGGTGAACAGTTAGTATTTTGTCAAGTCACCATGGGCAGCAATGCAGGCTTCAATGCGGCGGGGCATACTACCGATCAAAGAAGTTAGAAAGTCGTGGTCCATGCTGTCCCAATATCGGACCACCTCTTCTTTCATTTCAGCAATATTTATCAGATTTTTCTTATTGACACTTTCCTTCATATAAGTCCCCAAACATTTTCTATTGAATTTAGGTCAGGGCTATAGCTTGGCCAATCTAATAATGTCATATTTTGGGTCCGAAACCAGGCCTGTGAATGCTTTGAACGATGTTTTGGGTCGTTGTCTTGCTTGAAAATCCAAATATTTCCATAGAACACGTGAGCAGATGGAAGTAAATGTCCCTCGAGAATATCTGTGTACCGCTCACTGTTCATATTCCCTTCAAATACACAGAGGGGCGTTGCCCCTAACACAGATATCCCACCCCACACGTTAAATTTCGGACTGTACTTTGGGCGCTGATACAAAGATTTTTCAGTTTGTTTGGTCCAGAATTTCAGTGTATTAGGAAACAGCCACACAGAACTTTCATCTGAGAAAATCACATTGTCCCAGTTAAAATTTCTATGCTGTAAGCACCAGTTCAACCTTCGCTCCATACTCCTAAAATTCTCAATAATTTCTGGTCATACTATATGTTTCATACTATTATTACACTACCTGTGTCTTTTCTCTCATGTTATGCGCTTTGAGCATGCACCTTGTGGATGGATACAGCCCTTTATAAATACTCATTATTATTATTATCATAATGTTTAATGTGTTGAAAAACGTGACACTTCGTGACATTCAGACAGGAAGTTCAAACAGCACTTTCAAACATCAGTTGTATAGACGAACCCCCAAATCAAAATGACAAACATGAAGCACTCGGTCACCTAGTTCTCATGGTGCTAAGTGACGTGTGTACAGGCATATGTATACTCTTCAAAAAAAGAAACTTGACATGCTGTTTTGGAGTTTACTTACAGAGTGCATATAACTGATTCAAACATGACATCATTGCTCAGTTACAGTAAAATCATCACTTTACAAATTTCCAAAACATGATTATCCAGAAAGTGTTTGGTAAAACCACAGAGGGCTATTAAAGCCACTTGGTCAGAGTAAAATGTCAGTATCTGGTGTGACCACCATGAGCATCGATAACAGCTTAGCAGCGGTGACCCATAGAAGAAAGGAGATGCCGAATGCTGTCTTAAGGAATGCTTTGATACTCTTGTTGAAGTGCTGTGTGCAGTTCTTGTAGTGTCTGAGGTGGCGGATTACGCTGGCGCAAGCGTCGATCAAGAGTATCCATAGATGTTCAATGGGGGACAAATCCGGTGATCGAGAAGGCCAAGGTAACAACTGAACATTGCTGGAGGAAGACCTGTCAAACACGTGCAATATGAGCTCGCGCATTGCCATGCTCCAAAGATCAACCGTTGACGTTGATGTAGGGAACGGCGTGACGTTGAACTGGTCTTCTGGCAAAAAGTCTGGCTTTCGATAGCCAATTGCGCACTGTCTGGTGGGAGATTCGGCGCAGTCCAGGGATTTGGATTGTTGTGGATGATGCGGCCGTGGTGTTTGAACGAAAATGTCTCAACCGGATGTAGCGATCCTGGGCGGCAGTGGTAACTCCAGATCGACCTGACCTGGGTCTGTCATGAACACCCCCAGCATTTTTTTATCGGGTCCATAGGTTTGAGATGGTCTGTCTGGACACGCTGAAGTGCCTTGTCACATCATGCTGCGATGTCCGTCCTTGTAAACGGCCGGTGGCGTTGTGTCTTTGAGCTTTCACAAACGGTGCTCCTGGATATCCTTACATTGTTAACATTGAAGTGTTCTGTCTGAAGATCTGCTGCATTAAAGAATCTTTTACATAACGCAGTGTTAATCATGTGCCTATCATCTCAGACTGTTGTGACTCTATGGCGACCTGGTCGACGTGCATATTCCACGGACCCATTGGCTTGAAATCTCTGCCACAGTCTACCAATAGCATTCTCACTCACATTAAAGCGGACATCAACCTGCTGCTTAGTTTGACCAGATTCCAAAGGCCTATAGCCTGACCTCTCTCAGCAAGTGTCAAATAACGTCGCATTTTAAGCTGCGATTTCAAACAGGTATACCTGAACAGTGAACGACAGTGAAAAAGCATCAATGCATGTGTATTGTCCTCTACTTTCCATGGATAGAGCTACTTGCACGCGCAAATCATTGACATGAAATGGCAGGTGGATTTCCATATTGACAATTTGAATAAAAAAATGTGCCATTTGTAGTAGAATGTACTGGACGTTGAAGAACTTTTATTTGTCTTCGAAGTTTCATTACAGGGGACGAGACTCTAGTAGATTGCCTGTCGTTGAAAGTTTGACTGACTTTGTAAATGACTTTGTTGACCCTTTGAAGCCCATATCTGGTGTCCCCCGCCCTGATGTTGCTGGAATATTGCTAAAAGCGGCGTAAAACCAAACTCAGTCAGTCAGTGTTGACCCTTACTCAGAGACAGGGCAACGGTTGCTTGTGTCTGGCCTTTGGCTGTACCCTTGTTAATAAACATCAACCGTCCACAAAAAGCTAGCTTTTCCACACGCATGAAAAAATGAAATGTGATATCTTTGTGTCCCTGTCGAAGTCAATGGTGAATGGTATTAAAAGTATGGGGTGATTTAGTCTGTCATACAGACCCTGAAACAAATACAGCAAAGAAAGCCCATGAAAGTCTAGAATATGTGGCAAGTGAAAATGCAGAAAGTCTCAGGGCTCCTTTTCATTATATTATATTTTTATTATGAACTGTTTTATCTGTGAAATATGTTCATTTCAGAGACTAGTTGTTATTATAGGGGTGATTCAGCAACACTGATCGGCTTTGAACAGAATGTAAAGATTTTTTCAAAGGTTGAAAGACGTACCACATGCAACTGGAGGGAAACAACACACTTGACTTTCCTGCTGGAAGAATTTTCCGAAGTTTCGAATTGTCACATCTCTGAGATCGGTTCAAACATTTTTAAAATCCGGCGTGTTTCCCACTGGTAAGTTATAAATGTGATATTCTATGGTACGTGGCCCTAAGGAGACTCTCATTTAGTCGCAGAAATAAAGTTACCATATTTGGAAACAGATCTATAATAATCCAAATGGAGCCCAGAGCAACCCATAGTTTTCTGGAGCTCAACAACTCAACTTTAATGACCCTTTTCCATTTCACTCGAATGTCCTGAGGTTTATATATGCCTCAAGTTAATATACAGTATATATATTTGTAAGCATTCAGCGTGTTCAAGTATCCCTCATGACATATTGCTACACGCGGCGTAAAATTTCATTCTCTCGTGACATAAACAGATGAATGTATGTTTTGATCATCACATCATATTATGGATGAAGGGGTCGTTGTCGGCATGGGTATTACAGAAACGTACCCTAAACAAAGTCAACATAGCCTACACGTACCCGGTACCCTAAACCGAAAGCGGTTCGAATCATGTTATATAGTTGCAGATGCTGTTTATAGCGAAATATTTGTCACTGTGTATACTTATTATAAAGGGGTGGTGGGGTAGCCCAGATGTTAAGGCGTTTGCTCTTCACGCCGAAAACCTGGGTTCAGCTCCCCATATGAGCACAATGTGTGAAGCCCATTTCTGGTGTCCCCAGTCGTGATATTGCTGGAATATTTCTTAAAGGGGCGTACAACCAAACTCACTCACTCACTCTTATCATAAAGCAATCGAATATATATCTCAAACAATAGTATGACAGTTCCGATCTAGAATACAGCACGGAATGGTCCCGTACCGTATGTGTACCTGGGGTACTTATCTGAAGTAGACCGCATCCGTGGTGTAGTGGTAAGAGCGTCCGCCCGGAGAGCGGAAGGTCGCGGGTTCGACCCCCGACCGCGTCATACCAAAAGACGTTAAAATATGGTACTTGTTGGTTCCTGCCTGGCGCTCGGCATTAATGGGTACAACAAGGACTGGTCGGCTCGGAGTCAGTATAATGTGTCTGAGTGGGGTATTCATGCTTCACTGCGGCATGGTATCTCATTGGGCTAGCACTATAAAACCAGCTTCAGTCTGGGCTAGTACAATAAGCAGCGGCACATACGTGTACATACACACGCATGCACGTCGTCATGAGCGAAATATTCTCGACGTTAAACCCAATTTCACCTCAACTGTGTCGAAGTACCTGTGTCGACAACTACTTCAGCCATATTAGGATAAAGCGTTGCAACTGTGTACGTGGAATTCTTTTATTCCAGAAACGAATGCACATCATTGCACCTGAAAATTACGGAAAAGGGCGAAAGGCCAGAAATAGGTAACGGAAATGGCCGAGGGAGCCCGGGTAATACCAAATTACCCATGAGGTTTTTCGCGGGAACTTAGAAATCGTGTCTGAACATTGGACACAGTGATAGTCGTGTTTACTGTTGCCGAGCTTGTTGCCCACAGTACAGTCATTGTTCCGCGCCGGTATGGCTCACAGTGCCTTAGTGTATGCGACAAAAGTACCGGATAGTGTCACTGGCAACCTTTTGTGAGTTTTTGATCTGTTATTATTATTTGGCTACATTATGTCAACAGCAGGGGGTGTTTACGGACAGATCGAGCTTGTACTGAACACAATTGTCGGAGAATGAATTCCACTGGTGACACATGTTACGAGGTTGTGTACCTGTTTACACATTGCATAAACTGTTTATACATTACAGGGACTTCTTTTTGAAATGTGTGAGAATATCTGATCTGCTCTTCACACTCTTTATATTGACAAGGTCACCTGTCAATAAAAAATGGCGCACTTGTCAGTTAAGCCAATCAGATAGCCTGGCGCGATTTTCAGATCCTTTCTGTCGACTGAATGTCAAACTATCCTGGGACAAATTGTCATTTTGGATTTGCAAAGTGAAAAGGTGTGAATGTTTAGACTATAAAAACCTTAGCTATAAAAAACTGACATGTTTATAACATGTCTTGATGGGGAATTTTACATAGTGACTTTACAAGGTGATTCAGGATAGAAATTGTTGCCTACAATAGGTGGCCATAAGTGAGTCATCATTCCCATAGACTTGCAAGTTAATTAACTCTTGCAAGAATAATTTTCATAAATTTAGTTTGGGTTGAATTGCTTTCAGTACTTATCTACCAGCTGGGAAATCATCTCAGCTACATACACATAATTTCCTTTCAATTTTCCGATGATAATAGAAAACTGCAACTATTTAAACAACATATATTAGACATACCAATCAGGTTTAACATGGCTGTCTATGGGATAATTAAAAGTACGGTACTTAATCAGGTGTCATTCAATAACTAACGAACGGAAAGATGAAACAAAAAGTATGTACACGGAGCTGAAGATGATTTCCGTTGCTTGCAAAATATCAAAATAAAATGACTTCTACTCAATTTATGAAAATTATTCTTGCAACAGTTAATTAACATGTAAGTCTATGGACATTTCACTAATGATGACTCACTTACGGCCAACTAATGTATGACAGGTACGAATGCTGCCCAATAAATCAAATTCAACCGTGCTGGATATATATGTAATTGTGTAAACCAAGAAATTTATGATACCAGTCTGTTTCACTCTGATCATCATTGGTGAAACAAGTGTTTTTTCCGACACCATTGTAACTACACAATCAAAAGTGACATATACAGCCCTGTTGACTTTCAAACTGAAAACAGTTGATGTCGCCTCATCTTGTGATTGCCATTTGTGGTGGTCCGATTAATTGAAATAATCGAAGATTGGTTGCAAAGACGAAGCAATCAATCATGTTTTCTCATAATCGAACACAAACAATTTTGGAAGACTTGTTTGCATTAACAACATTTTTCACAAGGTTGGTTTTGTCTGTTACATTTCTGTATTCATAAGCACAACAAGCTCGTTCTTTGTCATGACTGAATTTATCTTAAAGACTCCAGAGGAAATTTATGTTCCTCTAAGAGGCACTGATCCAGAGTGATTAATGTTTCTCGCCAACGGTCTAATTACAAAACCAAGCTGCAGGCTGGTCGGTACCTGCTCACTTGACTGTGATGGGGACTGGGCTACTGTCCACCTTGGCAGAATTTCTTCAACCTAAACAGTCGGACATTAGGAACTGTTGATTCCCATTATTTGAAAATATCCCCAGTAGTTCTTGCCTGACTGTAATAAAGAATCCCAGCAATGTAAACATTTTCAAATTTTCTATTGCCTGAATGGTATAATGAGACTGATCCAATTTGATCGTAATTCTGTGTTATTTACCTTGATATTCAATCATGTCACGTAAAAATATGATGTTTATTACCTATGCTGTGATATTAAAAACACCCATTTGATGTACTGTAAATCATGAAATTAATGAGTCACAAATTTAATGCGAGTGCGAGGGTCTCTACTAAAATGCATCACGAAATTAATGTGAGCTCAGGAATCTGATGATAAAATGTGACACCTTGAATCTTTGATGTTGTTCATTTTCTTTTCACGGGGACACCTCACATTCCCCATGACCAATTAGTTAACAAAGGGGGATTAAGGTATAGTCTGTAGCAAGAAACAAGGTAACACTTGGTAAGACATTTAATAGTATAAATATTTATATACAGTTTGATAGTAAGGTGATACTCATAGCACTAAACATACAGTAAAACAACTTACAGTCCAACAAAATCCAATACATAGTATAAATATTTATATACAGTTTGATAGTACTAAACAAACCTACAGTATGACAATTTACAGTCCAACAAAATTCATCACAGTGTTGAAGTATTCGATGGGTGTCTTGACACCAGTGATCAGCAAGTTCTTCTCTTCTATGATTCTCTCATCAAGGCGGCGGTACTTTTTTTTTCTTCTCTTGGGGGCAAGTGTGCCCCCAGATTCGAGCTGTCTGATGGTGAGTTCAATGTCTTCTTGTTCATTCTTGATCAAGTCGAGGAACGTAAATATGTTTGGATGGCCCGGACCAAGCTTCTTCAGTTTGCAGTGCCAGCCCTCCAGATGATTGGTTGTTCTTGGCCCCACAGTGGTGAAATGGTTCCATATTTCTCTGTCACCATTGATCCACTGCTCTGTCACATAGTCTGCAAACTGGTTGATTCGGGGATCTTCTGACTCAGATTGTTCTGTGACATAAAACCAGGTATCTTCTAAGTCACATGGTCGAACCAGGGCAAGGGCACAGGCACGCTTGATGAGGAGGGTGACAGATGGGTCGGTGTTAAACAAAGTCTGGAGGACGTTCTTCTGTGCATTCCTCCACACTGCCTGGCGGTAATGGAAAAGGCAGCCTTTCAGGTCACAAGCAACAGAAGCACGGGCGGCATTTTGGACGGCAACTTCGGAAGTCGGTGAAGATTGTTGTAGGGGCAAGGACGATGTTGTTCTCTGCAGCCTTCTCTTTGATGGTGTTGAAGAAGGTAAGGTCGGTGGACTGCTTCTTGTCAGGGAGTAGGCCGTAGACAAGGAGACACATCTTGTCGTTGATAGTGTAGATAGTGCATGGATAGTGTAGAGCTGGTAAAAAAAGACCAGGGCTGGTGTGGAAGGTGCCATCACAGAAGTAGGTGTTAGCTCTTGGTGGTGCAGGTTATTCTGGTGTGGCAAAAATTAGCATCTTCTCGTGTTGGGCCAGGAGGAACTGTTGTTAGGAAGATGTCAAGGTGTAGGCTGGTGGGAGGTTGATTTCTGAAGGTCTCAGCGGAAGAGGTGGGACGTTCTTGGCACGGGAGCGGTACACACTGGCTTGTAAGCTGTAGAATGTGGGGACAGTTGCCGTCATATCATGTCCTTCGCAAAGGGCCTTACCTCGAAGGTCTTCTTTGTGAAAAGAAGGTACAGCTCTACGGTCAGCTTTGACTCTGGTTTTCATCTGCTGCACGACGTCTTGGGCTGATATCTTGTTCTCCTCTGAAGGGTGATTGTGTTGAGGAAGAGGTGACGCTAGAATACCACCGCGAATGGTAACTCTGGCTATACATTATAAATTAAGGTCTGATGTGGCAAATGTATTACATCTTATGTAATATGTGCATGGAAGTGCAGTAAGAGGAGTTATCAGCTTAGTTACAAAAACAAACATGAGTCAAAGGATTAACCGATAACACTCTGATTGATTAATTGCTTTTATCTTGCACAGTGGATTTGTCAAAAGGTCGTGTTTATGTATGTAGATTTACTAATCTATACGGAATACACCCTGAGTAGTATACACAATGAGGCTACGGGACCAATTTAAAAATTGAGCCCTTGGGAAGTCCCTAATCCCGTAGCCCTATTGTGTATACTACTACTGAGGTGCATGCAAAGTATGATGAAAATCGGTCGAATAGTTTCTGAAATATTGACTTTTAAGTGAGCATGGGGTCATTCGGGAAAAGGCAAAATGTCCAACTTTTTGTCGTAATTAAGTCTTAATCTAATGAAGTCATCAAGAGTGTTCCCAATGCCGTTTTGCTATAGCGTAACCATCTGCCGAGATGCATGCAAAATTTCACGAAAATTGGTCAAATAGTTTAGGAAATAATCACTTTTTAGTGAGCATGGGGTCGGTCTGGCGAAAGGCTAACAATCATACGTATTGTCGTACTTGTTATATATTATCGAGGCAAGAGGTGTTCTTAGGTGAATTAAACGCCGGTCTCGGAAGTCATCACCTCGCTACCGTCTCAGGGGTTGCTTTGAGCGAGCGCCGTGGAGGAGTATAAGTGTGTGCGCGTGTGTCTCTCGGCTCGGCTATGATGCTGAAGCAACGCCGGCTGACTAGCGAGGCTACAGATGTCTGAAAGTGAATGAAACGCATCTCTCCGGGTCGTAGTCTCGGTATCACCGTGTGAGCGCTGTGGGCGAGTCGCAGTGTGTGGCTCAGCTCGGCTTGTACAGCTGACTGGCTGGCAACGTTATGTTGATTTCCACTAAATCATACCGTATCTCTCGTCAGTTCCCCCGGGTCGACTCGCCGTCTTGGTAGCATTGAGCGAGCACTGTGGGCGAGTCACAGTGTGTTTGTGTGTGTGTGTGTCTGGGCTCAGCTATTTACCTACAGCTTGCTGAGATGGCTGGCTACGTTATGTTGATGTCTGCGAAACAGTTTATTGTGAATCTCCTTCTATGATTTGTTTGGTTTTCGTAATGACGGCTTGTTGGGCCTGTTCCTTCCCTTGTTCTATGGAAAAAAAATTCTCGTCTTCGCTGATGACGGCATTTTTACGAGACTTGGTTCGAATCTCTTGTTTCATTCTGTGATATTTTGCGATTTCTGATAGCACCAAACGAAACTCTTCTTCGGAGATTTTAGAGACGGTGAGAACGGTGGAAATATGATCGTCTATCGTGTTTAACTTCGCTTCGGCTAAACTTCTAATTTCGTTGTGTTTTAATGCTTTACGTTGCAGTTTGCGAGACACGAACTTAAGCGCCAATCCCATCAACCCTGTCACTCCAGCTGTTATTTCGATGCCTAGCACCACGGGTGCGGCCACGATGGTGGATAATAACCCGACACCTGCTGCCCTAATCCCATG